CCCCAAAACCCCAAAACCCCAAAACCCCAAAACCCCTAAGATTGTGTCAAAATTGAATAATTTCTAGTTATTTCATAACAATTCTTGGGTTCATGAAGGCCAGCTTGGGTCCGTTCTTCAAGGTTCTCCTGAGATGAGTCGATCTTGTTCCGCCTGCTGTTCTAGCCTTCCCTATAAAATTTATACGTCTACCTACTAGTCATGTTAAAGTTATTGATCTTCTTCTTAGAAGCAGCTGAGGGCTTTTTGCCTTCAAAAAGTCCGAGCATTTTATCCTTGACTATTTCAGATTGCTTATTTGCTAAGGAAGTACTGAGTTTTCTATTCTTAACTTTTTCTTTCTCAAGCAAACTCTTTATACTGCCGACTACACCTTGGAACCGTGATTCTTGCTTTGAGAGATATCTTTCTAGCTCAGATGCGAAGTCATCCTTGCTGAGTTTTAGCTCAGTGATATAATCAACAAAAGCTCTGGGCTTATTCTCATACACTTTTGGGCTACTTGGACCATGATGTTTATTACCTAATTTGACATTTGTAGGGCTTCTAGGAGTGAATGAGTATTTAGTAAGCTCTCCTTCATCTTTGAGTAGGAGTTTCTCCTCCAAAGTGATTTCTCCACCTTTACCAACAATGAGTAAATCCTTATTGATGTCTTTGACTACATCTGGATGCTTCTGAATCTCTTCAATAAGTTGCTCTCAGTGGCTTTGGGATTTCCCAAGAGCGATTTTCAAGATCCTATTCTGCCTTTTAAGCTTTACTTCCAAGAAGCAGTTATCATCTGATGGTTATGTAAGAAAATTACCTTCAAGTAGTTGGCCTAGAGGGATTTATTAATTATACTTACACCTATGTCTCCATTTATCAGCTTCTCTTTTATAATCATTCATCTTATTTTTGTAATGTGAGGGCTTCATTTTTGAACCATTCAAGGTTCTTTACTCTGTCATCCATCTTTTGGCGAAGATCTTGTTCGTTGAATTTAGATTTGAAGAATTCTAGCTCTTTTTGAATTTTGAGCATATGGCCTCTGTAAGCAGTCAGAAAGTCCTTCTCATTCCTTTCTACAAATTATGAATTATTTACCAACTATATAAGTTAGGGTTTAGGAGACTTACTCATGGAATATGTGAATTTACATTGGTTCTCTACTACATCTGATAATTGACCTCATAGAGCCTTGAAATTTTCTATGAAGTTAGTGATCAAATTTTAAAAAGTCTTAACTGGGATATCATAACTTCCTCAAAATATATTATCTCGAAGTCATATTTCCAAAGATAATTAGAGACTATACCTTGATTGCTTGCTCTTTCAACACCGGTTATAAATGTGCTTTTATCATCTCCTTCCTCTTTGCTTTCTATATGATCCATGGCTAAAATATTTAAATAATTTATATGAATAAACTGTAATAAGACTTTTCAATGTTGAAGACGTAGGAAGGGGTTTTGGGGTTTTGGGGTTTTGGGGTTTTGGGG